TCAGCAGTTCATGTAGTTGATGCAAAGACAATGTCATCAGAGCCCGTTGCAGTCGTGGAATTGCCACACAGAGTTCCATATGGTTTCCATGCCTTCTTCGTGACAGAGGTCAGCGCCACTTCAATTGTTCCGAAGATGCACTTTAATCTTTCCTTCATTCTGCATCAATGCACTTATTCACACAGATTGGGATGCAGATCAGTTTAACTTGATTTAATTTGACTCAAAACCACCTTCCTTGCGTTTATGTTTCTTTCTCCTACTCTAGTATTCCTTTTCTTGGTAGCGCGCTTCTGATCAAAATTACGGTTTCTTGAACAGGAGCAACTGCAAGAACAAGCAAAGCTCTAAAATTATTCATCATTGTTAGAACGTACAAGGGGAAGGCACGCCAGCGTAAACTGAACCTGTTGTCGTGTAGGCGGTCTACTCCACATGTACACCAATAAATAATGTATACACCTCTGTGTTTAAACTACCGGATGGTGTTTTAATTACTTTGAACAAAAAGAATCAGTGGGTCACATAGCAATACCTATACCATCTTAATTATGTTGATTATATGCTTGGAGGCATATTCATTTTCTTTTCGCATAGGGTTCCTTTTTTCTGGAGGACGGAATTGGTGTTATATTAGATGATGGAGAATTAAGAAAAGTGATTGGAGAACTATAACTCTACCGCACCTAAAATAACACCAACTCCTTCGTCTGTCAATTTTAATGATTGCAATGTTGATTGCAGTCAAACTTGTTAGCAACATGTTTAAGTGGTTAATTTTAGTCTCTCCTCTTGTGATTGTAGCTTACAAATCTTAATTATCCACCTCTTGTTGTATACCTCTTTTTTACCGTATTAAAAGAGGGGTATACAACGAGAGATGGCTAAAAGCCTAAAAGGGTACCAAGTCATCACAAAATGAGGAAAAATTGTGGGTTATCTATAGATGTGAAGGTTCGATCCAATTACATTACAAATGTTGCAAGGCGTTTGAATATAAGTTAAAAACTAATTGTGGTTAAAAACTAATTGTGGTTACATTGGCTTTCTCTTTTGTGGCGCTCTCTGCAATTTCCTCCACTTGTGGTATATGTGATACGACAGCCCGGAAAATACCATGACAACTGATCCCCATTGCTTCGTTGACAGGGGATTGCCGCTCAGCACCGAAGACACCACGATGCTTACAAACTTGCGGGTTGTGGTAATGGTGGTGTTAGCTAAGGAACCAAATTGACTTATGGTTAGGAAAATGAAGTTCTGTCCAACAGCACCACAGAGACAATAGAGAAAAATGTCCCAAGCCGCTTCTGGATGCTGCTTGCAGAATTGGACTGCCTCAAATCCGCTGCCACGAGGCCAGCCAAACATGTAGATCGTGTTGTATATGGTACCCCATAAATTCATGCCCAACATTATATCCCAAGCGCTCGTCTTTGGATACCTAAGCAAAAACAAAAGCAATAATATTTAAGACTGAATTGTATATCGTTTCACATATATAGATGGATTGACATCAATTTCATAAATTTATTCCTATCGGCAACAATTCCCTCGAGTGATCTTAAAGCCCAAGCTGATTTTCATACAGTCAACAACAGATAATATGGGGTGGGATTTGCAAAATGTTGACAAATGGTTTAAATAATGTCGAGATTCCTGTGAGTGAATTGCAGAAAATGAACCAGTATTTCAATGGTCGAAGAAGGATGATGATGTTCTGAAGTATACCTTGCAGTTATCGAGTCCTGGGTAGCATTTGTGAATCCATCAAAAGCAAGGTTGAGGAAACATAGTCCGTATCCAAGGGGAGCATTTGGGTGTGCCAGCTTGCTAATAGTCTTTGAACTGGTCTGAAATCGACCCATATGGAATAACATAAGATAAAGCAACAAAATCAGTATGGGTAGCATGAAATTTATCAGGAACAATTTATAAGGAAAATTGAAAGACAAAAGATAAGAATTATTTCATTCTTGTTCCATTCTCAATAAACACACACACCCACACCATCCCTCACCTTCAAGAGTGCAAATATGGATACTCCTCCGGCGACAAGAAGAATACAAACATATTCAGGAAAGCTGTATCTTTTGCCGTAGACTAGAGTACCCATCAGCATCACTGCATACACGTAACTATAAACCATTTATCAAGTCCCCATTACAATAATATGGTTCTTTTTTCTTATTTATTTAACAAATGCAAAGGCAATCTAATCAGTATGATAGTTCACAATCTTAATTGAACTTATAAGAGTAACATGCTTGCATTAGTAAGAAATGGAAAAATAATCGTAAATAATGACCTGGAATCATTTTTTAGGACTTTGCCAAGACCTGCAAGTAAAAAAAAAAAAACAGCTTTAATATCCAAAAACTATAGATCCATTATTTGGAATTTACTCCAAAAATAAATATAAAAAACGAAACTTGTCACAAAAAACTATTCTTATCATCCCTTAAACAACCAATTCAACATCCTATCAAACTCAAATAAGAATTTATCCAAAAAATACTAATGTTATTGGCTACATGGACCTTTTGCTCCAAAACTAATGGGTCCCTAAACATTTTTTTTAGCCAATGAAGTTTATCTAGAGGAAATCAAACTACTCCATTACATCTACGACAATCGTAGATTTCCTAGCTCATTAGACCGGTAAGAAAATCTGATCCAGTTAACTAGAACTAAGGCACATAATCATCAATTCTTCCTGTATCCATAACCATATTCTCTAATGCTGCCCATTAGAGTTAAAAGTTACATGATCAAATCGAGAATTGAAACGCAACCCTGAGCCGGGTAACTGATGTACTTCAACGCTTCGATCCCCATAGCGGGTCCAATCGTGTTAGTAATCCCTGCACTCCAGAATGTCCACTTCGGAGCGCCTCCAGCATTACTGCTAGACCAAAGCTTTATCACTGTTCAAAAGAACCAAATGACAATATTACCATCCTCCCAATTTCATTTTTCAGCTCAAATCAATCAACATTACAAGAAATTCAAGGTTTTCAGAGAAAGATTGAAGCTTTACTTATATATGACCAGATAGACAGACCGCATTCTGAGCCAAGTTCAAGAATGCAAGGTGTTCGAACCTATGCCCATCTCGCCCGAATCGCTTCGTGGACCTAAAAACAAAGATCAAGACATCACCAATTTCGATTAATGTCGACAATCAAGTCTGAAACTTTCGAAGACGATTTAAGGAGCTGAAGAATCCCAAAAGGGGGTGCGCGATCTGGGAAATTCCCAAATGCAGAGAAAGTGAAGGCGTACAGAGTTTCCTGAAGAACGCCTTGGTAAATATAGGCAGCCCAAATTCCGACGACACAGAAGCCGAACACCAACACGCGCCGCAGCCCCGACCCGTGAGCTTCCATTTGAGCCCACCAAATCCCCTGCCTCAATCACTTCAATCGCAGTTGCTATAACGAACTGGATTTTGTGATTCTCGCAGATTCTCTGAAAATGGATTCCCGACCCGAGAGCGTTTGACAGAGATGGCGAAGTGTGTAACAATTTTTTTTTTTTATGAATTTTTAAATAGGGCTGTTATTATTATTTGTCTCTGAGATTTACTTAAAAAACAGTAAATTTTGTTCAATCTATTTTTTTTCATTAACAAATGTGTTCATGTAATTATTGAATAGTATATCATTTTTATTTTTATTCAGTTGAATTAGAGAGTTAAAATATTAATCTTACAAAATTTTAATTGATAATCAGATAATATTAGAAAAACTAAAATTTTAATTAAATTAATAAATAAAATAATATGTAATTAATAAAAAATAAACACATTAATTAATATTTTTAATAATCAACATTCACACCGTCCTGTGTACAAAATTTAATTTAGAAATTTCTTATCATTACCCTTGTGTTAATATGCAATTCATATAAGCATTACTTTCTTTCTGCAAGAATTAAAACCCATCTCATACACATTTGTTTTTGTTTTTGCCTTTTTCTGGTTACCATTTCTTGTATCAAGCTCACCAAATATAATGAACAAGCAAACCAAAAAGCATAAAAACAGGAAAATGTTGAAATAAAAAACTAAAAGACCTCAAACAAAATATGATTCAATGTTTTTAGAACCCAAAATATCTAATATTTAAGCATTACTTTTGAAGAAAAAAAAAAGAAAGAAAGAAAATCCCTCAGGAAAGCCTGGTTTCAACCTGGAGAGCATGAAAGGAATAAAAAAGTGGCTCCTCAACCTCTATGCAGAAAGGGAGCACCAACCATTATTTTTTATTCAAATTTCATGCATCCTCCTCAGATTACTAAATTTTTCTTCACCGGGACGTTTCTGTGTGCGATGATTATCCTTAAACCAGACAACTTCATTTGAAAAGTCGAAAGACACAAGCTTTTACAGACAGAAACATGGTTTTCAAGAGGGAGGGAGGCGGAGCGAGGGAGGTTTTATATTACAATGGTGTTCATGTTAGGGTTTTTGTTTTGGTTGGACTTGGGCTCACGTGCTCCAATGCCTTGGAGATCCTTTACATTGGGCTAGCCTTTTTTAAGATTTAGATCCTACGAACATTTTAGCCGTTAAATTTGAATTTTTACGATTATTAAGTTTTGATTTTTACAATTATTAAATTTTCTATTTCAATATTGGTTCAATTCCATGTACCTTTAAAAAATTTCCAAGAATTTAGGTTTTCAATATTTTTGAATGAATTAGGTCAGTTAGTTGGGCTAATGTATCTATATCTATCCTCTTGCACCAAGTTTGAGTTGTTTGACCCCTTATATTTCCATAAATCAAAGTAGTTTAAAATATCGCTTTCAGAGTAGTTTAAAATATCACTTTATAAAATAGAAAACTCTACTTAATTTACTCACAACACCCATCCTAAAGCTAAATTTACACAAACACCCCAGCTCCCTCTATTCACAAGTGTAGAAAGTAGTTTGGTTTTTGCACAATTAAAGTGGACTATTATACTTAATTAGACAATAATCAAGACCAATACTGCCTCAGAAAGTAGTTGGACCCTTGAGAAATCAGATATTAGTCAAACATAAGATAGAACAATAGCTACATTTAGAAACACAGATCAAATTCTCCCCTCCAGGGAAGGGAAATAGTCTTTTCAAGAGTTACCACAACCCTAAATTTTGTCCGAAACCGAAGTCACCACACGCATTCGAAAATCGAAACACAACTGCAGTGTTCAGAATCTACACGTTCACAACTAATTTTCTGGTTTTAAGTTTCCAACTGATGCCTTTCTTTACTGTTTCTACAACAGAAGCGAGTGCACAAGTGATGGCAGTCTGAAGACGACACGCACCCCGCCGCCTATCTACTTCCGCACCACTCCAACAGTTACAAAGTAACCAAAGCCAAGAATGATTTGCCTGATAGAGACATTGCACAGCCGGGTTTCCCCCAAGAGACACCGTGCACGCCTTGAGCTTCACCTGCAAGATATAACCTCTGTTTACAAGATGCTGAACAAATAATAACACGGTTTGCCATACAAACTGAAACCTCCGCCAAGAGAAGCATCAAACCTCGTAGAGGGACCTCATTTACTGGGAATGGCCCCACGAGACAACCCTTTCAACTGCATGTTTTCCCTGCTGTCACTGAACGTGGAAGGGTATGCTGATGATGGGCCATGATCGTTGCCATTACCATTAGAGTGTGTGTGGTGGTTGTGTGTCCTGAACCATGGACCTGATCCGTCTTGCTGGACATTTGAGGAATCAACATTCCCATTGCTGGTATTTGGACAGCACTCAAAACCAGATTTGGCGGATTGGGCTGAATGGTTTCCATCCAAATTCATGCCTTTTTCTAACGAGGAATTCTCGTCATTGGCATCTTGTTTCTTTGTATTAAGGAAGCGGCCTCCACAGCCCCTTGCCCTTCTTAATGCATGTAGGTGTCGAGACTCGTGAAGATAAGGCTGTACAATGAACATAAAATCATATGTCAATCAAGCCATAAAGGATCAATTACCAAGCAGAAGAATCAAATCAAGTGGCTGTCTGAACTTAAGACCTAAAGGAACCACCACGTATCGTCAAGGCTTTACAGCCCAATTTCTAAAGCATGTGCCTGGAGTGACGAAATCTATATATCCACCAATATGTTTCTAAAAAGTATGCGATAATATGAAAACAGAATGAAAGACATTCGTTCAGAGTATCGCTGATATTAGTCTGATATCACCAATTCACATGCATGGACAAATCCACATCTGTGAAAATGAGTCAGATATGATTGCTACTTACCAACATTTACCAATATTTCCACTAATACATCTCCAAATTTACCAGTGTTCTATAGATATTTTCCGTATTTTCAACTTCCGGGACTGTAAATATTATCAAATCAATTGATAATTAATTGAAGGGAGAAGATGATATTTGTTTGCACCTTAAAGACTTTAGATTATTTCCATAAAATCCAGACCACCTACATATTCATTAAACTTCATCATCTTTGATGGTTTCTTGTACCCAACTAACTCCCCATGAATGTAAGAATGGCCACACATATGTGGATGTCTAATGCTACCAAATTCTACTGCAGTTTGAAGAACGAAAAATTGAAATCATTTACCTTTCGAGCTTTTATAAGTTTCTTTTCAAGCTCAGCTTTAGCACGTGACTGTCTTCGTCTCAAAATACCATGGTACTGCTTCGCATTTACATACACAGGCTCCTCTTCCATATCAAGGGGCAAAGGCATTCTACCAGGATGCATACCATAGAAGTGGGGAGGCAACTGGCAACACGCTAAAAACCATTAGACAAGAAACCAGAACTTTTCTCAACATTAAATTCAATGCATCACAAATATACTCATCCTATTGCTTATCCAAGACAAGAAAGTGAAAGAGTTGCATCTATTGTTTGACTACAACAATGATGACCAAACATGTACATAGTACCATACCAGACAGAAAAATAACTTGGTATCCCGAGCATCACCTAGTCTTCTAAAGAAAATTGTTCTTTCTGTGGGACTGCAAGTTATCCGACACCATGTTATCATATTGTTACCCGGCATCTTTTTTCATTCATCCTTTCTCTCTAGTTGGATGGTTTGATTATTATTCGTCTCTCAAGACAGTGGTGGTTCATTGTCTCTCATTATAATATATCATCATATATCTACGTTATTAATCATGGTCCTCACAAGGAAATTGTTTGGTTGCTCCATAATTGATAAGTGGATGTCGGTTTTTCATTGACGAATTTATCAAATTCAGATAGCAGTTTGAGTTTGGTTTAGGATAGTAGTCTAATCGAACCCTATTGATATGAAAATGTATCTCATTTCCTCCTGCATTCTGAACACATTTAAAAGAGCAGTACGGAAATCCTACATTTACGATTAACAGGCATAGATCATTGATGAGTGAAGACTTCCTGACGACTTAGATACAACTTATGCTACTAAAACAATATCATCAGCTGCAGATTGCGTACCATAGCTTGTGGCCCATAAGGAGTCAACATCCCACCATATTGTGGATCTGAATACGGATATGATGACATAACCTGCACAGTGTAATAAACTTGTAAACCTTCTCGGTGAACAGCAGACATTTTTCCAGAAGAAATTTGGACGCCTATAGTGGTAATGGATGCAGATTCCTGTTCTTCGTATGTCTGTGATTCTTTCCTGTGTGTTGTAAGGTTTGTACGCATAGAATGTGAGAAGAAAAGAGAAAGAACTTACAATTGAGTGGCCAACAAGTTCCATTTGTGAATTTGGATCCACGTGTTCACCCAATGCAGGAACCACTGACGACGAAACGCTTTTGATATGTTCGTTTTCACTTCCATTATTCCCGTCTGAGTAAAAGGAAACTCACATTAACACATAAGTCTATAGCAGTCGACTGAACATATGAAAGAAGATAGAATGCTATAAATGTTATAGGGAAAGATGTGGAGCAGACGTGGTCCATAGTCGTGATGATAATTATTTATCCACCAGATATGAAAACTAAGTTCACAAGAAATTTCCCGTGGGATATGATAATTTAAAAAGCAACTACCAGACTGTGATCCTACTGTAGTCCGCAATTCTTTGTGGAAGTTGGCCACACCACCGTCCAGCCTAGCATTAGGTTGTGCCTGCATTGCTCCATTCATGACCATACTATTACTGTGATCCACCAAAGATGATGCAGAACCATTCCCCACTCCACGCCACCAAGGTTGGGAGCAAATAGGTTGCAACAGTGTCTGAGCACCCTGTTTTATATGCGGATCTTCATCTTTAGATTTAGCTGGCATCATTCACCACTTTCTCCTGAGAAGAATATAAGCATGGGTTTAACATATATAACAAAAGTAAGGAAGATGAGGACAGAAACCAAAAGAAAGTACTGATCAACTGTCATGGCAGAAAGGAAACGACAACCCCTACAATTCATAAATCCACTTGGGGCACATTCAAGAAATCTTATCTGAAGCAAGAAACCAAACCGCCAACGTTCATTAATTGAAAAAATACGTAAATGGATCACAAAATAATTCAGCAACACAATTCGAACATAATGGTAAAGATTGATGTTCCATTTAAATCATATTATTCCTAGTTGATAAGCTTTTTACGAAACTTCTTAAGGACAAAGCTAGGATACATCAATCAAATGTTGTAACAGCCGGAGGCCTCTCCCAAAAATGTCAACTCCAATTCACATTTGGATTCCTAAGCGTCATTTGCATGCTCCAGATCTTCCTACTGCATACCCAATGTGATTCAGGGGTTCACAATCCTCCCTACTTCACAGATATTATGATTCCCCCTCTGGGGATCACAACCTCCCTTCTTTGGCATTGGCACTTGCAACAGGAAGAAAATCACACGCATAACAATTGGCGGGTCTTTGTGAATTGAGATGTAACCGTTTACATGCATGGCACTTCCCCTTCAACTTTACTAGGCAACGAGACATTGTGTTCCTCTCACTTCTTCCAATCACCACAACAATCTTGGCTATGTCCATCATAGGTTATCTTAGCTTATCCGATCGAGGAGGCTCAGCTCTGGCGTCGCACATCCATTAAACCATAGCATAGAGGGTGCGCGTTTTTTCCCTCATTAGCAGGGATCAGTTGTTATAACTATGTCCCCCAATTGACTCATAGGAAATGGGTTGGGACGCTCTGACTCTATTTCTGATGACCCCGGGCCTCTTCTGAAAGTACTAACTCTAGTAAAATTTAGACTCCCGGTTCTTAAATACTCTCTAAATATTAGTAGCACAAAGTTGATGTGGCATGATGGGGTATCGCAACCAGCCCTTCTTTTAAGGTTATCATAAAGTTCCGATCATGAACTTGAGAAATATAGACACTAACGCACAAACACGAAAAATTGTGCAAATATAGTTACTGTAAAAGACGTAATGCATAAACAAATATTAAAGCTCATGCAACATTCGCATGTATATATCGCTGCCTATTCAAATCACAAATCACAAACTTGGACATCCTAAAGATACAATATTTTTGGGGTTGGGGGGGATTCGGACTCGGGACATCGAGTACAAGGAAGTATGTCCTTAACATGCAATTATATCTTTAATCAAATGCAATTTACAGCTTCAAATGTGTTCTAAACCAGTGTTTAAACTTTCTTTGATTAGGTCGATATTTGGAAATATCTAAAAATATCAGAGAAAGATATGAAAAGAGGGTGAAGTTTAAACTTTCTTTGATACGGTCGATATTTAGAAATATAAAAAAAAATTAGAGAAAGGTATGAAAAAGGGGTAAAGTTTAAACTTCACCTCATATCAGATAGACTTTTAAATTTCAGTTAAAATCAATTTTGTCAGTATTTCCGACATATCGATTAAATATTAAAGAAATTCTTATATTTCGTCTAAAACCAGTGGATATTTCTACTAATACCGATATTGTAAACAGTGTTCTAAACTCAGCTTCGAATTTACAAATGTTAAATACCCTTATTCTGTCTCACTCCATTAAACGGGCTAAACTTTCAAAACCTTTTACATCTAGGCACCGGAATTTCAATACATGCAATCCCCCCTTGTTTCAATTTAACAAAAATGCAACTAAACCAAAAAAAAAAAAAAAAAAAAAAAAGGGAAAAAGGTGGAAACTTGAGAGCCCTTTTCATTATCCAAACCCCAAGCTCGAAACTTTATATAATTTTCTTTGTAATTCCACAATTTTCCCGCTGACCAAACAGAGATTAGAAGGAGCTTTTCTAACAAAAACAAGAATTCAAGCATGCAGAAACATTGATTTGAGGAAAATTGGGAGGGAAAATCTTACAGTGGTGGGCGAAGTAGCAGATAGGAACCCGAAGAAGAAGCTTTGATTTCAGGGATTGGAGGTCGTCGATGCAAGTCTCATTTTCTCTCTCTTCCTTCTCGCTTTCTGTCTCTCTCTCTCTTCCTTCTCTCTGCAACCTTAAGAGAGACAGTGGAAGGTGAAGCAGACAGAGACAGTTTAAAAATATGATATATTTTTTTTAAATATTATTCTTGGAAATAAAATTAATAATTATTAGTTTAAACTATAAAGAAAAGTTTGACAAAGCAAACGACAATAAAGAAGAGAGAAGTTTGGGTGACTTGACCAAATTAACCTTATAATTCCCTCTTTCTTTGTTTTTTATATAAATTTAATTATCGAATAAATAACGAGTTAGATGTTAAGTAACTAATTCTTATAATGCATCAACAATCTTTAATCTTTGTCGCAATAGATTTTGTTTTACTATTTATAATTATAAGTTAACTGTATTTTAGTCTAATTGTGATTGTGCCACCTTTGTTAGAATTATCCAAACAAGCATTGCATATATAACAGTTTAGTATAGTTGCGTCGATGCTTTCATCTCTTAATTTAAATATATCATTGTCTTTAATAGTATTCTTTTCATTAACTGGATAAAAAAATAATGGAAATAGCAATGTTGAATCACCTTTTTTTATTGGTTATAACAATTTCTTTTTCTTTTTAATTTGTCTTGAATGGCTAACTTTGCGAGTTCAAATCTCTTCTCCTATTAGTGAGAAATTAATAAAATGAATGGTGCAGATATGTAGAAAACTCTTTAAGTGTCTAAAAAAAAAATTCTCAAGTTTTCCATAATTTTTAAGATTGTTGTTGCAACTTACAAGTGGTGGATTGTTATGTTAATTAAGTTTTTTTTTAATTCATTGTGTATCAGGTTCAAATGCCTCATTCTCTTAATGTATTTCAGAATAGGAATGTTACTTGTATGAAAAAAATTAGGATAATCGTTTTTTCTCAATTTTTCTTAACTTTTTAATTTTTGCAATTACATATACAAGTAAGAAAAAAAAAGGTGATTAAAATAAGTGCAAGGGTAATTTGGGCAATACACCTATTGCTCTCCAGCTAGTAGGCAAAGGCAGGTAAAGGTTTTTACGATATTCTATTTTCCCACTCTAAAAAATATAAACAAGAAGTATTTTTTATGGGATGTGCTATCCACACACCCTCTTTTACTTCTCATACACCCATTGATAATTTATGTCAGTTGATCTTCTTCAATTCATCCGATCTGATGGTCGAAAATTAAAAAGGTGTGTGAGAAGTAAAATAGTATGTGTGGATATCACACCCCATTTTTTATGTCTTGAAGTTGTTTCTTTTAGAAATATTTTTGCTCATCAGTGACGTCTGGTTTATCACTGTTAGATGAGTATAAATTTAAAAATTTGTGTAATGAATAAACTCAAATTTTAAAATTTAATTTATCCGATAGTGATAAATAGGATGGTGAACACTATCATTATTGAGAATGATGAGTTAAAAAACAAAACCAATTTTTTAGTAATGTTAAGAAGACTATTTATTTGGATCATTTTGTAAACTATAAGATATAGATGTTAATGATTAAATTATTTAAATGCTTAATTACCGAATTTATTTTATATGTTTATGGCACATTATAATAATGTAGTCCAAATAGATGGTTTTCCCCTAACTTTTTTCTTTTTTAGAGAAGTCTGTAAGCCTGGCTAGCGGGGATTTTGTACCCCAACATGATCCTCTTCGGATTCTTTTGGCGAGAATTCCCATAATCTTTGAATTGTATTCGTTTATCATATATTGTGCAGTTATTTTTTATCGAATATTATTTGTGTTTAATTTTAAATAAAAATATTTAAAATAATTTTTGACATTACGATGTACTATGAACGAACATAATTTACAAATTTTCGAGATCTTTACAAAGAAGATCCAGCGAGAATCCACATTCTTTTGTAGCTATATGAATACCGCAACGTGTCGGGCTAGCAGCGTGTCCCATGGGTCTCACTACTCAAACCGGCCACGTTGGGTCCCCTTTTAATTATATTCGTCCACCAAAGGCCTTGAGCATTTACCCAACGAACCAGGGTAGCAGCCAAAAACATGTGCTACTGGTGCCACGCAATGGACTTGGGAATCTGATGGGCACCCACGTGTCTTGTAGAACATGTTGTGTTGGTAGGTATGGCCTTTTCTATTCGGAGAGATTTTGTTTTCTAACTAGACGAGAACAATTTTTATGATAAACAAGGCGTGATCGTTGAATATTTCAAATCAACAACACAATCTCATATGTGATATTAAAATACATTTCTTTTAGACTCTTGTTGATATGTGAAATTGTCTCATAAACACACCCGATCTTAGGTACCTTCTTCAAGGATTCAAATGTAATGATAAAGCAATGTTAGAAGAGATAGATATTGTTCTGTCGAATCTAGTAGCGTATACTTATAATTAAGTAAGGTACTAAAGTGATTACTTGTGTATTTTTAGATGACTAAAACATAACTAAGGTCTAATTTAGCCTCCACGACTGGAGATAGCCTAAGACCACAGGAGAAAACCCATTGACCATGACTAGGTGGAAAGCTAGATCTTATTTTAAAACCATATTTGTTATTAAACAAAAGTACCCATCACCCAAAATCTGCCTGGTTGAACCTTCAGCAGTCATCACCATTACTACATGCTTAGGTTCGATGTTCGCTAATGCGAATTTGAACTAAATTATTGCTAGCTTATCGTAAGACTGAACTCATCAATTTTCTCTTAGTATAGATACTATCGTATGTCCAAATTCGCTGTTACTAAGAATTGAACCTAAGACATCTTATTTACAAATGAAGAAGAATATCATTAAATTGTAGTACTAAATGGTAGAAAATACATTTTGTTAATAAGAAAAATTCATAGTCTTATGTTTTGAGATTGAATTGTAAATGTGCGACTAATAATAATATGGTAAAAGATAAAATTGCAAGCTTATGGGTTTTGGACGAGAAAGACATGGACAGTCGAGCAATACGTTCGTCCCTAGTGCATCAAACATTATCCTTGTCGTTCGGTGGAAAATTGCCGAAGATGCACCTTCGGAAGGGGCAGTCAAACATTCTTCTTGACGTTAGCTAGGGAGCTGCCAAATGTCTTCCCATTTGCTTTTTGAATTTTTTGTTCGACTGTGCACTACCCAACCAGTTCGGTGCTAGTTTGCTGAACAAAATGCGAACCCATAAATTTTTTTGAGTCCGAAAAACATGTTGCGCTCGAAAAAATTGTTGGTGTACTTCATTTAGGAGAGATTTTTTTCGGTGTCCTCTAAAAACGTGGCAGAACACCACATGTCATTATACAAATAGAGAGACACTTGAAAAAATAACTTTACTCTAATTGTATAATGACATGTGATGTTCTACTTTGTGTTCCAGACCCATTGGGCTGTCATCCGGTACCGTTGGAGAGCAACACACAAACCGACAGCTTCCCTAAATATATTATACTGTCCTTTTTAACTTGTTCCTTGTCGTGGTACATCCTCAACTTTGTTCTCCTCAAGAATTTTGTACTTTCTTTTTGTCCCCTCGGACAAGTCAGAGAAAAGAAAAATGCCATAATTTTAATTTCTTTTTTGGTTCTTTGACAAAAAGGAGCTAGAATCAATTGTGTCTCGAGCTAGAATCAAATTTTAACATCCCGTTCCATACTAGTTCTTCGTGTCCAAGAGCGCATAGCATGACAACGCATCAATGGCTCATGTCTAAGAGCACGTAGCGTGACAACGCATCAATGGCCTGGATCAAGTCAACACGTCAATGGCTTGGACCAAAAGCCCAAATTGGAACTGAAATGTGCTTTGGGCAGCTGACAACGACAATTTGTGTCTTACGTTAATTGAGGAAGAACATTCCCTCGTATTCCATCACTAAGTTAAAAACTCCGGAATGTAGAAATCGCATACTGTACTATTTATACCGACAAGAGTACTTAAACAAAGAAACAATGTAAATCAATCCGAAACAAAATTATAAAACCTCATCGGTTTTTCTGACAAATTATATTTACTTGAAAGACAGAATGATTCTCCTCTAATATTAGCTTACAACACAATTCGATCGTTACTGTATTCAAATTACAAACAATGTCAGGCATGGCTGTTCCATTGTCCCCGTGCCCCTTGTAGTTGGCTTCGAAACTGGGTTACCACAAAAAATGAATACGCAAACAGCCCTTCGATGCAAAAGGCAAAAGGCAAAAGAATTTCAGCAACTCATGGCTCCTTCAACTGAAGGGAAGGATGTTACATCAAGACATCCTTCGGCCCGCCTCTGGTATGGATTTCACTTTGCCTTCTTTCACTAAGTGGGGCAGATATAACACTGCGGATATGATGGCCCTCAATTAGCAAGTATCAAGGAAACATTCCCTCGAGATACTCTTCAAACTTATCTGTATCATCGTCTTCATCATCAACTCTATCTTCTCTAGTAGAGATTGAAGCCTTTTTCCCTGAAAATTTTATTTGAAATGGCGTAAGCTGAAGATTATGAGTATGAAATGACATAAAAAGAACGATGTCTTGTTGTTATAGCCAGGTTGGGGCTGAATGAGCCCATTAAAAGAATGCAATTCTCCTTGAACAAAAAATGCAGAACCAGGGGACATGATAGGCACGTATTTTCTTTAAAAAACTGTAATTTAAAGAAAGATATTCATACATTTGCAATCTTAATATAAACGAAGTCATCTCTGTATGTAAAACTACTAGTATTTGAAAACCATAAAATGATATAAATGCAAACCTTTTCTCCTTTCTTTGCTCCCCTCACTATCAGTATCATCACCGTCACCTGATCGATTCCTGCAAGTGAAGTTTTGGTTATCTTTCGTACAGTCAAAAACCATAAATCAGATTATGCATACCAAAAACACCACACAAAAAGGAAGAGTCCTATGTGAAAAAGGATGCAAATCAACTTGAGACCTCTTTCTTCTGTTCTCTTCCTTCTTTTCTTTTTCCATTTGCTCTTTCTCTTTCAATCTTTTGTAATGAAGCTTTTCAGAGCATCTGTTAAGAGAACCGTTTAATCCAAACGTCACAAGGAAGACAATTGATCAAGATGCAAACAGAATAGAGAGACATCTAGTGAC